AAAAGACTAAGCGATAAACTGGATCATACTAAGATCGGACTATATCGCATTAAACGAAAGCTAGGACTAGTGACTTTTAAACTAGATCTACCTAAAACGTTAGAGATTCACCCTATTTTCCATAAATCATTACTGGAACTATATCACAACCTAAACGCTAAACTAGGACCCGTAGACATTAATCGGGAAACCGGTGAACTATTATATGAAATAGAAGAACTTATAGACTTCTATCCGGTAGATTAATCTACTGACGAATAAGACATATATCTAGTTAAATGGTTAGGATATGGAAGTGAAGAAAACACTTAGGAAAACAGTGGAGACTTACCTCCTAAATTAAAAAGAAAATACCATTAGAAAACTCGAAAAGAGAGAGTAGTCGCCGGTGGGTTATAGGCTCTCCTAAGTAGGGGCAAGCCTAGTGTCACTAAAGTTCAATACTACGCTCCAGTCTATTGACTCCGACTATAGTACATCCTACTAAACGAATTCAGGTTCGGCTAGGGCCACCTCCTCACCGGAAGGGACCTTATTAAAAGCACCTAAAGCCTATATCTCTCGCTTCAACATATTACTGGAGAGTTCATCTAGTTTTGTAATTAACTCTTGCAGCTCGGAGTCCTCTTCCTCAACACCGACAAGATCTACCTCTAATTCGGCCAGGGACCGCCTAGCCTCGACTAGGGTTCGCCGGAGCCGGGCAATTTCGCGGCGTTTAAGCCGGGACTTAGAAGACAGTTGTTTCTTCTGCTCCCCGATTTTCCGCACCTGTTCAACGGAAAACGTTCCGTCACACTCTCTTCGGTGCCGTAAACACGCCGTACACTTCACACTCTACTCTCGAGAGTAGAAATAAACATCGCCATGAGCGACACACTCAGAATAAGTAACCATCGCTTTGTTTTCCTCGATCGATTCGATATAATTAGCAATCTCGTTTTGACGCTGCCGCCACGGGGTAAGAGGTTTAGAAGATTTTAGGGTTTCGGATTCGGCTTATGAACTCTGAAGGCCTGTATAGTTAGCCATGACGAACAAGAAGAAGGAATGGAAAACTACGGGGGTGGGCGATGACCTACCTTAAGTACGTTGAGGATAATAAACAGGCTAAGGAGGGGGAGGTATTACGAACCGGCCTTCATGCGACCACCCGAGGACGCGGGACAGGGAAAGTCAAGCGGGAAAAAAGGTAGCCTCGTTAGTAAGGCTGGCCTTAGACACGTGACAACTAAAAAGGGCAATACGCTGTTATACGTAGAGCACTGTTACACGCTAAGGTCCTACAATAGCTACAACACTACAACGCCTAGACTTACCTAGATAGGAAACCTACCTAGAGTATATAGCTAGCTAGGTCTGCTTCTTCAGGAAGCGTAGTCAACCTCGTTCACAAATAATCGAGTTCCTCTCGGTTAAGTGCTTTACGTATAGTGCCGTACACTATACTCTTGGTTTCGTCTCTACTACATCGCCTACTACTATTTCACCAAGTAAACCACCTCGGGTTTGCTAAGAACACCTCACGTGTAAAGCATCTCGTAACACCTACTAGGAGGCTACTAAGTCTATACGAAGAGGAGCCCGTACGTTCCCCTCCGGCCTAGGCCTAAAGGTATCGATCTTAGAATGCTCCCTTAATAAGGAAGGGTAGCTACTATTCCGAGGTCGACGCTAGGTGCCTAAATTAGAGGCTCTCCGTACGGCGATCATCTAATAGGTCTACGACTTAAGAATTATAGGCTATCCTAGCCGGGAAGGTACGGTAGTAATGATAGTAAGATAGTTCTTCTAGCTAAATATACTATAAGACATTCGAAGGTTCGTACGGAACTACGATGTATACGGACGAATAAAGGCCTAGAAGGAACGAAAGTAGGGATTCCTTAAGCCTCTCCCGATCCCCGAGCGACTATAGAGAGAAGTATCAGTCGATTTCATTATAGAACTCCTAGAGAGCTAGGGCTATATAAACCTCATAGTTATTATAGACCGACTAGGAAAAGGAGTCTTACTGGAACCATTACGTACGATCGACTTAAGGGACGTGGCGAGGATCTTCCTACGGACATTCTATCGTTAATACGGACTACCATCAGCTATTATCTTAGATCGTAGCCCTTAGTTCGTAAGTGTACTATAGAAAAGGGTCTATTAACTCCTGAATATCGTACGACGACTATCGACGGCCTACCACCCGGAGATAGACGGCTCTACTAAGCGAATGAACTAAACGGTTGAAACGTACCTTCGTACGTTTATAAATGGAAAATAGGACGATTAGGCGGAACTCCTACCTATGGTAGAACTAGCTATTAATAATCGCGACGTATACTCGATAGGAGTAAGCCCCTTCTTCCTCCTATACGGATACCACATTAAACCGCTTTAACTATAGGAGCCCCTCCGTATAACGGAGACTCCTCGAGGGCCTATATAATACGTAGACCTTATCGTATAACGACTCCGAGAAGCGAGGAACTAAGCGTAATCTTCAATAGTTATCGCGTAATAAGAATAGGAAGAGAGAACGAACCGATCACGATAGTAAGCGCCGTAGTTCCGAGTCGGCGATAAGGTATGGCTAAACTTAAGGAACGTACGGACGACGCGTACGAGTAAGAAACTGGACTAGAAGAACGCGAAGTATACCGTTACGGAGGTAATAGGTTCTCACAGCTACCGTCTAAATACCCCATCGGGTATTCATAATGTCTTCTACTTAGACCTCCTCCGTACGGCATTAATAGACCCTCTTAACTCGTAAAGAACGGACGATAGTCAGCCTACGCCCGTAATAGTTAGAAACGACGAAGAATACGAAGTAGAAGCGATCCTAAAAGATAGGGTCGTACGAAGAGGAAGAGGTTCTCGGCAGTAATACCTAGTGAAATGGACTAGGTACGCTAAGCTAACATAGGAACTAGCCGATGCACTATAAGACTCCGCCGCGTTAGATGCATACGAGGCCCTCCGGGCTAGTACCGAAGGAGAAGGGGGGGGTGTTGTGATGGGTTAAACCTAGAAGGAGGCTCGGTTCTAACGAACCAGCGCTAAGACTAACGATAGGACTAACGCTACCTCCTAATTAGCTAAATTTACCTATACATTATACAGGTAAAAGGGTAGCTTCCTAATTAGACGAGGTACGTACCGTATAAGGGATACCGAATCCTAGTAAGCTGAGACACCGTACGTAAGGGAAGGTAAGGAAGAGAGATAGAAGGTAAGGGAAACGTAAGGCGTATACGAAAGAGGAAGGATAAGGGAGAAAGGGGAAGACATTAAGTATCCCTTACGGAGGAGCGTACGATATAAGGAGAGAAGGAGGGGACATTATTCCTCCTTCTCTCTCCTTAGATTTATCCTCCTTATTACTAGGTTAGCTAGCTAGTTACAGAACTCTTTCCAAACCCTCACAGTAGATCCTTTATCTTACGTTCGGGGAATTACATCTTCCGGAGGTCGTAGTATATATTAGGTCGATTTAGATACTAATAGATAACGTAAGTATCCCTACTAAATCCCCCCTATTAAATGTACTTAATAAGGATACTTAGCCGTAGTATCGCTAAAGTACTAAACTATAGGACGTATCGGAGAATACGATTCCGGAGAATATAGAGGGATCGATACGCTAGTCGAAAGCTTTCTCCCTAACCGATAATATAATGAAGTTTATCTATAACGACGAGATATAGGCGGTCTATAATAGTAGGGCTCTTTAGAATAACTTCATTAAATAGAGGCGAGATAGCGATCTCCGGACTAGTAAAGATTAAGACGATTATATTAGTATAACGTTTATAACTCTATTATTTTATAGATCTACCGTTAGTAGATCTATAAAATAACTATTTAATCGATGAAATCTACCTACGATATATATAAGACTTTATAATGAGAGCCTCGCGGAGTTAGGACCTACTCGGTGTAGTGTTTATTTTATCGTAGAGTAGAAACCTATTAAGGTTATCGAGTACTATAACCTTCTACACTTATTCTTTTCTAAGTCGGGTAAGAGGGATAATATAAAGTATCTAGCTACCGGGATAGAAGATTAGATATATTTATCTAATGAGACTTTTACTAGTACTAGTTAGAGTATATAGAATAATATCTTAATTATACTTAAGTAGCGAGTAAAGCGCCGATATTTAATAAGTCTAAGGTTTATATCCGTAAATACGCTAAACCGTTTACGTAATTCTAGTATTAGTATTATAATCTTAGGGAGGTAGAGAAGAAGCGGAATCTAGGACGACTTAAAAGTCTTATACGGAACCTATAGGAACGACCGAAAATCGATTATATATTACTAGATACTCTTCGGGGCTGTACGAATCTTAGTAGGGCTAGTTATATACTATTTCTCGATATATTAGTACCGTTACTAATATAGCTAGACCTTTTCTAGTATATCTATCACGATTTAAAGGCTTATAGATCGATCGAAAAAAGCATACTATATAGGATAGTTATATAACGTAGCGTCACTTTAAAATTCTAAAAAGTGCGTCTAATAGCCCTAATTAAAAGGAATAAGTTATATATACATTTTATACTGTAATTCTATAGCGTTATTACTAGGATCGACGATAATGTACGAACGCGATGGGTTTTAGTGTCTCTACACTAACGCGAACGCGAGACTAGGGTGTTTTCACGTATTAGCTCCCAGACCCTTCTGGCGAAGGCCTTTTCCGGAGGAAAAGGTTTAGCGTTGAGCTAAACGCCGTAGGCGCCGCGCTAAGGGTCTGGGAAGCTGAGACAAGTTTCTTCTGTCCAGACTCGGCGACTCAGTTTCTCCATGACGGATTAATTTTCTCCACCGGTTAAACCTCGGACGAAATTTCCAGCTCCGCAGTCTGTGTGGCACTGGCGGGAAATTTTATTTCTCCCAGCGTCTGCGCTGCTGCACCGATTGACAATCTTTTCATATTCCCCCACGAAGTCGGCGGCGGAGAGGTGGTGAAGGCCGGGCCGGAGAAATCACCACCATGGAGACACAATCAAATAGGCCGCATAGGCCGTCGAAAGAGAAGAAACAACCGAAAAAGGGCGAAAAGAACGTCAAGGCCTTCGCCGTCGCCAGACCAGGGCGACTGGCCAAGCAGGCCGTGCGGTCGAGCGACATCAAGGAGAAGCGCCTCCATGTGCCCCAGGTCGACCGCATACCCGAAGAAGCGCCTCCTATCGTCGTCGCTGTCGTCGGGGCCCCCGGCGTTGGGAAGACGACCCTCATTAAAAGCCTGATCCGGCGATACGCAAAACAGACACTATCACACCCGACCGGCCCTCTGACCGTGGTGACCTCGAAGCGACGACGTCTCACCTTCCTCGAATGTCCCTCCGACTCCCTCGCCGCCATGATTGACGTCGCCAAGATCGCCGACATCGTCCTCCTTATGATCGACGGCAACTACGGGTTCGAGATGGAGACGATGGAGTTCCTCAACGCCCTGAGCGTCTCGGGCATGCCGGGCAACGTCTTTGGCATCCTCACACACCTGGACCTGTTCAAGAAGCAGAGCACGCTGCGCGCGGCGAAGAAGAGGCTAAAACACCGGTTCTGGTCCGAGCTGTACCACGGGGCAAAACTGTTCTATCTCTCTGGCGTGATCAACGGACGGTACCCGGACCGCGAGGTCCACAATCTGTCGAGGTTTCTCTCCGTCATGAAGAATCCGAGACCCCTGATATGGAGGAACAGCCACCCATACTGCCTTGCAGACAGGTTCCTGGACGTGACGCCGCCCACGGAGATTGAAGAGAACGAGAAATGCGACAGACAAGTGGCCCTCTACGGCTATCTCCGAGGCACAAACTTTCCAGCGGAGGGTGCGCGGGTCCACGTCCCGGGCGTGGGAGACTTGACGGTCAGAGAAATCGAAGCCCTGCCCGACCCCTGCCCGACACCCTTCCTCGACCAGGCCATCGCCAAAGCGACAGGCAAGGCCCACCGAAGGAAGCTGGGCGAGAAACAAAAGGTCCTTTTCGCACCCATGTCTGACGTGGGTGGTGTTTTGGTGGACAAAGATGCCGTCTACATAGACGTGAAGACGAACACTTTCGACCGGGATGCAGAAGATGCAGAGGAGAGGGGACTCGGTGAACAGCTCATGATGAGTCTACAATCGGAGCGGAAGTTACTTGGACAGGCAGACAGAGGTGTTCGGCTTTTTCAGGGCAGTCGACAGCTCACGGCAGATGAGGCTGCAGAAAACGACACTGGCCGAAAGACGAAAAGGGGAATACGTGCGTTTGGTGACAAGAGTGATTTCACCAAAGATGTGGAAGAAGATGAAGACGAGGGCTTTGTCAGCGGAGAGGACGATAGCGAAATGGATGAAGAGACCAACGACTTCCCCGGGCATACAGGTCGACCAGGCTTCGTCGCAGCAGATGAGTCCGCCGAGCGTGAGGGCGAGGACGATGTTGCTTTTGCCGAGAGCGACTCCGACATGGGCTCCGTTTCTGGCGACGAGGATGGTAGCGTCGATCTCTCCGCCGATGAGCTTGAGGGCTCTGAAGACGGTGAAGAAGACGAGGACGAGGATGAGGACGATGGCGGTCTACGTTGGAAAGAGAATCTTGTTGAAAGTGCCCGAAAGTTGCACGCCAACAAGGCTGCTTTCCGAGCTGCCGACCTCTCCAGATTAATGTACGACCTCACACTATCCCCCTCGCAGGTAATCTCGAAATGGTCAGGGCAAAACGCGGACGAGCACATGGCCGCCGGCGAGGATGATGAGGACGACAACTTCTTCAAGAAAGCAAAAACTGATCAGGAGACTACCCTCGAGGACCGACAAACGCCCAGGTACGACTATGACGCGTTAGCTGAGAAATGGGAAGATGAGGAGCAAATCCAGTCACTCAAGCCCCGCTTCACCAAAGTTTCAAATGCCACTGGAGCCAATGCAGATTCAGAAAACGAAGGCGATGACGCTGAGGTGTCTGAAGACGACGAGTCTGATGAAGGAGACGGCGAATTCGAAGATCTAGAGGCAGCAGCGGACGAAGATCCTGAAGCTACAGCCGAGCTAACCCTGGAGGAGGAGCGAGCTCAGAACGCCAAACGCAAAGAAGAACTGAAGTTACGCTTCGAGGAAGAAGACCGAGAAGGGTTTGCTAATGCTGCAAAGAAGGATATCGAAGCGACAGAGCAAGAGTTTGGCGAGGATGAATGGTACGACGCGCAAAAAGCGATGCTCCAGAAACAACTCGACATCAACCGCGCAGAGTTTGATAGCCTTGACCCCGTGTCGCGAGCTAGAGCCGAGGGATTCAAAGCCGGCACCTATGCGCGGATAGTGTTGGACAAAGTGCCCTACGAATTCGTGCGGTCGTTCAATCCGAAACTTCCTGTCATAATCGGTGGACTGGCGCCGACCGAGGATCGATTTGGATTTGTGCAAGTTCGCATCAAGCGACATCGGTGGCACAAGAAGATTCTCAAGACGAACGATCCGCTCATCTTCTCGCTCGGCTGGCGGCGATTTCAGACATTGCCGCTGTATTCGATATCTGACTCGCGGACTCGCAATCGAATGCTGAAATATACCCCGGAGCATATGCACTGCTTTGGCACCTTCTACGGACCACTTGTTGCCCCGAACACTGGGTTTTGCTGCGTGCAATCTTTTTCAAACGCGAATCCCGGGTTCAGAATAGCGGCCACCGGAGTGGTGCTGAACGTCGATGAGACCACCGAGATCGTCAAGAAGCTAAAGTTAACCGGGCATCCATACAAGATCTTCCGCAACACGGCCTTTATTCGCGATATGTTCAACTCATCTCTCGAGATTGCGAAATTTGAGGGAGCCAGCATCCGCACTGTTTCTGGGATTCGGGGGCAGATCAAGCGGGCACTTAGTAAGCCGGAAGGGCATTTTCGAGCGACGTTCGAGGACAAGATTCTCATGTCTGATATTGTCTTCTTGCGAGCATGGTATCCCGTCAAGCCACATCGGTTTTACAACCCAGTCACCAATCTCCTAGATGCACCTCCTACAGGCAATGCAGCTGCTGGGGAAGGACAAGGTGTCGATGATGGGTCCAGTGAATGGCAGGCGATGCGTTTGACGGGCGCCGTGCGAGCAGCAATGGGAATACCAACTCCACTCGTGAAGGATTCAGCATACCACAAGATTGAACGACCAACTCGGCATTTCAACCCGCTGCGGGTGCCCCGGACTCTGGCTGCGGACCTCCCATTCAAGTCGCAAATCACACAACAAAAGGCACGCAAAGCACCAACCTACCTCCAGAAACGAGCAGTTGTGCTGGGTGGAGAGGAGAAGAAGGCGCGTGATCTCATGCACAAGCTGCAGACGTTGCGGAACGAAAAGGCCGAGAAGAGGGCGAAGAAGCAGGAGGAGAGACGGGCGATCTATCGCAAGAAGGTTGCCGAGAACATGGAGAAGAAGGAAGAGCGGGAGAAGAAAGAGCGAGACGAGTATTGGCGACGAGAGGGTCGGAAGCGAAAGACGAACGAAGGGAGTGGCGGAGGAGGAAAACGATCAAGGCGATGATGTCTATATCTGGTCGATTAGATGTTATGATTGATACATGCGACGTGAAACATGATACCCTTTTTTCTCCACTGAGCCATCCATGTATGTATATGATGTGAAGGCAAGAAGGATAGCAATAGAATGTTGGGTGGTGGTGGTGGAGTTCATGGGCCCCGAAGAGGATAAATGCTACGGGGGTCACCAGGCCATTGGAAGATGCCAATGATGGGCGAGTGAGAACGAAAGGAAGCGGCACCGACGGTCAAGGGACTCCAAGGCATAATATGACGAGACCCTGCAGGGAAAATGGAGTCAAAGCAGCATAGCGCGTGCCAACGGCCGATGCAAATGCCACGAGCAGCAAAACTCTGTCAACCGTTGTCGCCGTCCTGCCCTCACACCACACGGCGACAATGGCCAGAGTGAGCACTTGACTCTTTGCCATTTATTGTCTCTATCGCCATCACCTACCACTATTGATGCGCGCTGCCTCATCCCGCCTCACCTCGAACAAAACCTCTACCAAGGGATCTACCGAACAAGAACGCGTCGGCAGTGGCCCAGACGCGCGTTGCAACGCAATCAGGTCCTCGCCCCACCATCTCAAACCAGCCTGCGAGGGTTTCGAACTCCACCAAACTACCACACGAGTCACGACCATTGCAAAACACGCGACGGCTCTTCGTTGTCTCGTCGTTCCTTTTCTTACTCTTTCTCCTGGTTGCCATCTTCCTCTCCTCATATGCGAGCGTCTTTGCGATCCGCCCATCCGTCTCTACCCGCGACCTACTATATCTACAAAGCGTGCCCGCTCCACGCCGGATGACCGAGTCGAATATGCAGCATGCCACGGCGCATGATGCTTCAGCCATGCCGGATCCACCTGAACTGACACCTGCACCCTTACCGCCAGAGGCTGTCCGTCCCGCTCCGCCCTCTGGAGACTCGAGCGATACCCAGTCCTCCCAACCGAAAGACCTCACTCTGTCTACTAGTAACACATCTACCAGCGTGGATAATCCGTCAGTAGATCACGACGAAGTGTCACCCATTTCGTCAGCCCTCTCGAGCCATGGGGGATCGCAAGCGACAGAGACTCTTTCACAACAGGAGGAAAGGTTGAACGCGGAGCACACTGGGGTTGAACAAGGTCAACAGGAAAAGACCAACTCAACCTCCCAGAGTCCTCCACCACATACCTCGGGTATCAAGCGAACCGCGAGTGGTGAAGTCAAGAGATCGAGTGTGGATGTGGCGGAGGAGGGTGTCCCCAGACCTAACGGTGTTGGTCCTTCTCATGCATCGAGCGCAACTTCAAACCAAACAAAGGGCAATGTCCTCGAAGTAAGTTTATCCATTTCCGCCTCCATAGTTCTGGTGATCTGACGAGAATCCAGCTCTCACAGCAGTTGCGCACCAGACTGAAATATGCCATGGTCAAAGTCCAGAACGGCTGGCAATCGCGGTCGTTGGATGAAGTGGAATCTTTAGCATCCCAATCACCACGGTCAACCGTGTCTGGGTTTCAAAATCTACACGATCAACAGATGCTTTCGCCCAGAACTGCCATGTCCAGAAAATACCAGTGCGAATCAAGCGAGAGCGAATCGTCCGACAGCACTGTGGCTCTTGAAAGCCGCGGGCTCGTGAACATGGTTGGCAGTCCTCCAGTATCGTCGCGTCGCGCCCTTGCTCCTCCAGTCGATATTATTCCCAGTTCTCGCCGGCGTCCGACTCCAAATGCGGGAATTCAGAGCGCTAACGGAATCCACGTGCAGACTGGAAACTTGCATTCGTCGAGGCCGCACACTAATCAGCGAACCCCAAGCCAGAATGCTGCGATGGAAGCAGACGCGGTAGAAACCCTCCTTTTCATGGCCAGCCCCAACAACTCGGGATACAACCCACCTTCCCATGCTTCGCAAGATTCTTCCCTCCGCTCTGCACAGGTATTCTCGTCGCAGACCTCACCACTACGAACACAATTTAGTCAAACGTCGGTCACCTCACCGAAAAAAGTGGTGTTTTCCGACGCTGGTTCCACAGCACCACCCTTTGACAAGGGAGCCCTCATTGACCGCATGCTGGACGAACTATCTGATGACAGTGACGATGAACTGGAGCAAGCATTCCGACTTGCTGAGAAGAGCAAGGTGTCGGCGCCAGTCTCTACGTGACATTTTTTATCTATAACCTACCCTGAAGCGATATGCGTGTCAGTGGTATTTGGAGAGACCTCATTCTGCCTATTGTCCATCGCGTGCAGAGAGGCTACGAGGACTACGACTTGTACAGCGAATCTTGCATGTCATCTCAAAGGCGATCAAGTTGGTTTATATATGGGGGAGATGCATGTTTTGTATATGCGCATGCGCCGTTGGAATTCTAACCTTGCCGAGATCTCTGTTGTACTTTTCTTTTGTTGGTCATGAGGTGATTGCTTCGCCCAAACGGCGCATAGCTGTTGAATTCGTCTCTTGATAATATCCAGGATCCGTCTGTAATTCGAAGCTGGGGGATGTACATCCTTGTCAACAACTCCCAACGTCTGCAAGCCAAGGTAAAGGAATCACCACTGCTGGAATTTTCTTGTTGCTTAGGGCCTGTCTCTCTCCCAAGAAATGGAATACGAGCTCGACTGTGACACGAAGAGTCGGTGCACGACTTACCGTCGCCGACTCGTATCCGCCTTTCCAGCCTCAACCTCAGCCTCGAAGTTAATTAACTCACTCACTCACTCACATGGCTTGTTTGCTTTTCCCTGTCCCTGTCAGGTTCAGCTCGGACCACACCACTGCATCCATCATTCGCTGCTGCACAGATGGATTGATCTCGAGTGACACAACTACCTACAATACATGGCCATGCCCATCCCCATCACTTGCACCACCATCCCAAGGCTTGTCCAGCCTGAAAAACACGAAACGAATTGTCAAAGCTGGGGTTCGTTGGGGCATATTTCTCGTAAAGGTCCCTCGTACGAGCTCAGATGACAGGTTCAGTCTCGTATTCAGCCTTCCACAGAGAGAGAGATGTCTTGAACCAACCACCAGGCAGCTATTCAGTTCGATGCTGTCCTTCGTATCGCTGAAGGCGGAATCGAAGCTGAAGGAATGGTTATTAGGTCGCTGAGCTGACATATCACTTCCCCAGGAGAGCTCACTCTCTTTCTCTGGTTTCGAAACTCCCCTTCTACCTCTGTCTCTCCCTCAGCATCGCTCTGTTCTTTCGCGATCATTATAGTTCCTCACAAAGCCTGACCCAACATCACAGCGAGCACCGACAGTGACAGTCACGGCATTCACCATGCGGTGTCCCACAGCATCTACTCCTCTACTCCTCTTCTTCCTCCTCTTTCTGTCGTCGACCATGTCGAACATATCGACCATGGCGTCTCCGTTTTCGGGGCACGAGCACGAGCACGAGCACGCAATGGTCCAAGGGCCACCTCTCGAGAAGCGGGCGGTGCCGCCTCCACCGACCGACGCGACGTTTAAAAACACGGTCCTGGCCCGGGTCAATGCCTATCGGGCCTTGCACTCTGCGCCGGCCGTGACGTGGGACAATGCACTTGCGCAGGCGGCCAAGACGGCGGCGACGAGGTGTAGTCCGGTGCATACGGTATGTTTCTTCCCATCTCCTTTTGGTTGGCTGGCTTTGGCGGTTTATGTTCAGCTACACGCACACTCCCTATCTCTCTCATATACCTACATGGGTAGATACATACATCTACCTACATAACATGCCCGTCAAAGACTCTTTCTTGAAACCTCTTACCCCCTTAACCTATCCCATCCTATCCCGTCCCATCCCATCATATCCTTTACTAACCTCCTTCCTCCCCACCCCCACCCCTTCGGGTGGAAATCGGGAGGAGAACAAGCCCAACAACCCCTACGGCGAAAACATCTACTCGTTCTACCTGACCCCTCCCAGCACCGTCCCCAACTTCACGCTGTGGCTGAAAAAGGGTCTGGACTGGTGGTACGGCGAGGTGCGCGACTACTACTCGTGGGCGACGGACCACTCGGGCCAGTACCACTTCACGCAGCTGGTGTGGAAGGCCACGACCAAGATCGGGTGCTCGTGGTCGGCGAACCAGTGTGCCACGGCCCACGGCGATTATTACCTGGTGTGTGAATTTCAGCCCAAGGGGAACATTGCGGGCCAGTTTGGCGGAAATGTCTTGGATGCGTGATACATATACTCACACAAAGAAGAGGGAGAGGATGGGGAGAGGATGGGGCGCGAGAGGGAGAGAGGCACAGAAGAGATCTGTGATACATCACGATCGTGTACCTCAGGATCTGCACACGCAAAGTACCACTAGTAGTAATAGCTTTTGGCTTGTAGCCTTTGACATCTGACCTGGTATTTGGTATTTCCCTCACCACAGCCTACTTACATACCCACCTGGGTACCTAGATATCCACCCTACCACCAGAGACGAACCCCTCCGAGCCCTGACTCCTGACTCGATACTCAATGTGGCCTCGGATACACCCTCCGCACCGACTCGCGCTGCAGCATATTCGCCCACCACGCCCTCACCTTCCCCCCCACGCAAAATTCCGGCACCGTCTTGCGCACCAGCGCCTCGAGGGGCGCAAAGTCGTCGATGCGCTCGCTGCCGGCCCCCCACATGGCGTGCGCCAGCCAGGGCACGACGTGGAGGTCGGCGAGTGTCAGGTCGGGGCCCGCGGCGTAGGGCAGCACGAGGGTCGCGTCGAGCTGGGCGACCCCGGCGGCGAAACCGCGGTAGTCGGCGCGGCTTTGGTCGAAGAAGTCTTGATGATCATCTCCGTCGAGGTAGTAATGCCTATAAATGGCATGGTTCATGTCCCGGCGCGACCGGTAAAAGTCGCTATCGGGGAACTGGGCGGCGTACCCGTCCAGCGCGGCCTGGCGGGCGGCGAGAAAGTCGCGGAACGGACTGGCCTGTTTTGCCTTGAGTTCGTCCCGGTCGCGGGCGTCGAGGAGGATGATGTTTGTGCTGAGCTGCGGCGAGTGGACCAGGTCAATGACCTCCTTGACCTTGTCGACGACATCGACATCGCCCCCTTTCTTTCCGGGAGACAGGGTGATCCCCTCCGGACGGCCCTCGTCGAGGTAGACGAGGATATCGGCGCTCTCGACCAACGGCGCCGGCAGGACCGGGCTGGTCAGCGAGGGAATCGTCCCGTTGGGGTTGATGGCGACGTAGTCTGGGTGGAAATTGCCGCCGTTCACTGGTTTGCCAACGTCGTCATCAGCCACTGTTGCGAGCCATGTGCGAGACATATAAGACCGGGAACAAAGTAGGTTACTCACTCAAATCAATGTTGTCGACTTCATAGCTCCCTTCAGGGTATCCCTTCTCGACGAGGCCGAGGAGAGGGACGCCGGCCCATTGAGAAGCGGTCGACGAGTAGATTTTGAAGAGGGCGGTTGGTTTCTGGTCCTGCATTTTTGTTTTTTGTTTTTTCTTTTGGGAACTTAAGTCAAAGATGTATTCTGTTGTCTTGGGTGTCGATGTGCTTGTCTCTGAAAAGGGAGGACCAACGTCGCAGGGCCTTTTCTCATATATATATTTTATACACACATACATATCCATCTCTCCACCTCGCCCCTTACCCTCGACCTCGCTCCATCCTCAATATCCACAACAGAGGCATTTATTCTGTATCAAACACCCCTTACCGAGCAGGCCAACGTCAATAATGAAGAGGGTGGAGTCTACTGTACATACCGTATCCCTACCGTATTCGGCCAAGATCCCATACCACGGTTACACCGCGCATGTTGATTCGACCATTTATCCAATGTTTCCAAATCCGTGGCGAAAGGACTTCTTTTTTCCTCTTGTTGGCGCTCGCTGACAGGCAGGCTGGTACCTGATGGGTTGCGGGTTGTGCTGGTTTGGTTTGGAGTGACTTGTTCGACGTGAAATGGCCAAGCAAAAAGATTCATAATCATACAGTTTTTGACAGTCAATGAAATGGAGCCCGATCGCATTAAGCCTACCCTGGGGGAATGTGACTTGACCTATGACCTATTGAGGAATACTGATTCACCCGGAAAAGTAATAGTGTTGAAGGAAGTTGATAAATGACGAAGGTCAAGATTTTGTGGTTCGCCTTCCCTCTGTTCATGATCATACACATGGCCATGGTTGATACTCGCCTGCTTAGAAAGACAAACTGGTTGGCTGGCTGGCTGGCTGGCTGGAAAAGACCGCAAAAGACCGCAAATATCAGAGGGGTGCCAGGTTCTCCCTCTTTGGAGTATTTCTTCCAGTCACCCGCCTGCGCCTGCGGCGTATATCCTCCGAGTGCGCTCAACCATATAATTCCTCCGCCCCTGACCCTGACGTGCAGAGGCAGCTTTCTGAGCCTCGGGCCGCAGTCGGCAAAACGGTGGGGGACTTTCAAGACCAACACGAAGAGACATCTTCCCTTGTTGCCTTGTCCACTCCTGCTTCCCAATTCCAAGGCTGCTCCCCCCTCATCGTCATACGCGTATGTACTCGCTCGGCCCGAAACGCAGTATTTAGAAACAGCGCAGAGATGCAATATGTCCTCTCCTCGTGTGGATGGCTAGCCAGGCGGCTGGCCAGAGGAGGGGGAAGCGAAGAAGGGAGGATCGTGAGGCTACTAAGTGAAGTCGAGTCAGACTTCCACGCGTCACTCACTCACTCACTCACTTAACCCGCTTGTCATTTCGCTGTCTCGTCGTCTCGCTCGAAAGGAGAATTGCACGCGACTAGGCCCTCAATAAAGGAGGGACCAGGAGGGGAAGTAGTAGTATGTATGTACTTGTCCCAACTCACTCGGGGCCGAGTACGAGTTGTTTCAATACGAGGCAGGTGGTGAGAGAGCAACCATGGAGTTCCTCATACAATTGACTCGCAGGCCTTGGTTGCCCCTCCTTTCATGGCTCGGCAGTACATGTCCAGATGCCATTCTCGGAATCTCTCGTATGGGGGAGGTTTGGGTTTTTGCTACATATACACAGGTTAACCTAGGTATTTATGTCCATACATACATAGCTACATAGCTACATAAACATTAACATACCAGTACATCTATATCTAAGGTATATCTCTTGTCAAGAGACAAAAGACCTACCCCTTTCCACCACATCTGATTGCCATTGTATACCTCCTTCCATCTCTGTCTATAAACACCACTCAACATGGACCCCCCACCACACGTCTTCCCCGCCAGCGACTCGCCTATCGGCAACATCGCCTCCCTCGAAGACAAAGTCGCCCTGATCACCGGCGCCTCGTCGGGTCTCGGACGCGCCATGGCCCTCGCATACGCCGCTGCAGGCGCGTACGTCGTGTCTGCAGACCTGAAACCGACGCCGCCCGTGGCCCCGACCATCGCGGGAAGGCTCAAGGATACGGACCTGACGACGCCGACGGTCGACTTGGTCAACACCAAGTGGCCTGCACCTTCAAAGGACAGGGCCAGCTTCGTCCAGTGTGATGTCACGAACGAGGAGAGCGTCAAGGCCGCTGTTGCCTTTGCCGTCCAGAGGTACGGCAGGTTGGATATCATGGTGAATAATGCTGGTGAGTTTCTCTTCCGTCCCTCATCATCTTCACTTGGTCGAGAAGAGAGTGTTCAACCTCTCTCTTTCTCTCTGTTGTGTAGGTGGGTAGTTGGGTGGTTGTTGACTGCCTGCGTCCTTACCTACCTCTTCCCTCGTCCTTTGCACTTCCCACTCTTCACTCTTGAACTCCTGAACTCGTTTACTCGTTTGGCCTGCTCAATATCCCTCGTCCATCCACGCATTAACCTCACCTCTCTCCCCATTGCGGCTCTCTCCAGGAATCTCGGCCGAAACTGGCTCAAAAGAATACTCCGGCGCGTTCCCCCGGATCCACGAGACGCCCGTCGCGGCGCTCGACCTGACGTACCAAGTCAACATCAAGGGCGTATGGCTGGGGACAAAGTACGCCGTGACGCAGATGCTCGCGCAGGAGCCGCACCCGCGACACTCGCGGCCCGCCGGTGCGTTGGGGACCACGACGTCGGACGTGCACCGCGGCTGGATCATCAACATCTCTAGCATCATGGGGAGCATCGCGATGCCCGGCACATCGCCGTATTGTGCGAGCAAAAGCGCGGTTTTGGGGCTTACGCGGGCGGTTGGGCTCGAGTACGCAAAGGACGGCATCCACATCAACGCCATCCAGCCGGGCTTTGCCGACACGGCCCTGCTCGAGAACATGTACTCCAAGAACGACCGCGACAGCATGGACGCCACGATGAAGATGTTGCATCCCTGGGGCCGCACAGGCAGGGCCGAGGACATTGCCCGCGCTGCCGTCTTCCTCGCCGGTGAAGGCGCTAGCTGGATGACCGGCCAGTCCATCGTGGTGGATGGTGGATATCTCGCTCAGTAAAGAGGCCGGCCGAATCGAAGGGGGCGATGAAGGAAAGGATAGAGGGGAGAGAAGGGAGAGACACCTGCATGGCTGGATAGACTTGCGTGTCCAACCATTGCAGACGAAAGTCTTGAGCAAAAAGCAAAGCGGCCTCTCAAACGGAAGGAGGACATGTACCATGCAGAAATCGACACATCCACGAAAACACAACGCGGTTCAGACAAAGTGAACGGAATACCCATCTGATTATGCATACTCAATAGGCTGAAGCCCTCAGGCTATGATGCAGTCAACGGTGCCGGAAAATAAAAGACTCGCCTGCTCAAACCATACCCATAAACGCCTTGCCTCGTAACTCATGCCATCATGCCACCTAGCCTCTCGTTTGACCCTGTCTCCATGTCTCGTAGCCCGACAAAGTGTCCGTGGACTGACACAAACGGCTGGTATCGTCAAATACGTGCATGAAACAAATCGCTAAAAACAAAATCTTGCAGTTCTGTCCACCGAGCCCGTTCACCCACCGAAACCATGCGCCGAAGAAATGAGACTGTTTGGTTGGGGTCTTGGCCTATACCCAATACGATCACCCCATGACAGTGCCCTTGGTGGCCAGTCTGGACGGGGTGGGGAGGAAAGGCGGTGGTTACTGATTGAGCAGTAGCACTCTTGGTTATCGTAGAGTAGTCGAAAAGGGTGGCATGTCAAGTATAGCCTATCAAAGTCAGTAAGACACTAGCACTTTGGTGGACAAAACTCACTTCTCATGGCATCGGTGTATCCAGTCCCACCCTTGAGGTCCATCTCAAAGCTCTCAGCCA